GGCATTACCGCCGTGTCATCTATGGACTAGGGCCCTATATCGCTGATTATCCGGAGCAAGCCCTACTTGCATGTATCGTGCAGGGATGGTGTCCGAGGTGAGTTATCACTGCTTCCGTGCTACGAGCAACGGTCAGCTTAATTAAATCAGGTGCGCTGCTCCTAGCAATAACCTTGATGATGGCGATAATGTCCCACGATCTCATGAGCACACTCGCGCGTTGCTGAAAACGTTCGACTTGAAGACGCTATGGGACGATTATGGCATCGTCGGTGATCTTGTGGTGAGTTGGTACGCTCCATAGTCTACCAGATATGTTTCTGATCTTAGATGTCAGCCGTTCACAGTAGACTTCCCCCGCGCGGATATTCACGAGCTGCTTGCCCCCGACCTCTTGCATCAAGTGATCAAGGGCACCTTCAAGGACCATCTTGTGACCTGGACTGTCCAATACATCACCAACGAGTATGGCAGTGAAGCTCCGAAGATTCTCGCAGATATAGACCGGAGGTTCGTAACGTATCTCTTCTGCGGACGCTTTGTTCACCGACATATAACCCTCAGAATATCTGTGGTTCCCAACTTCCCTGGGTTGAGGCGTTTCCCGCAAGGCCGGGGGTTTAAGCAGTGGACAGGCGACGATTCAAAGGCATTGATGAAGGTGAGTACATGCTGTCGAAATGTTTAGCTTCAGTGCTGATGGCGTTAATCAGGTGTATCTTCCCGCAATTGCGGGGTACGTCCCACCAGAGATGGTGCGAGCTCTGAGTACTTTTCTCGAGTTCTGCTATCTGGTACGCCGCGACACAATAAGCGAAGACACTCTTACCGCCATTGGCACTGCATTGGATCGCTTTCACCGGGAACGTGAAGTGTTCCGCAACGCTGGCATCCGAGGGGAAGGCTTCTCGCTCCCACGACAACACTCTCTTAAGCACTATCCGTTCGTCATTACTGAGTTCGGAGCACCCAACGGCCTTTGCTCTTCCATCACCGAATCTGCTCATATCAAAGCTGTGAAGAAACCCTACCGCCGCTCCAACAGATTCAATGCTCTTGGTCAAATGCTCCTCACCAACCAGCGACTGGATAAGCTTGCCGCTGCACGTGTCGACTTCCGCAGTCGAGGCATGCTTGAGGGTGTATGTCTACCAGAAGCTTTTCGAACGCGAAGGGTGCCAGCGAATCCAGAACGCGATAACACCGATGGCGATCAGGCTGAAGATGAAGAAGCAGAAGGTTGGGCAGTAGACGGGGATGAGGTCGATGCTGAAGTGGTGTTGTCAAGACGACATGGTGCGTTCGACTTGGGTACGTAGCCTATATCTGATAACTGACCTGTTATACAGTGCGCGGGTTACCAAAGAGTATTCGTACTCTTGGCGAACACTTAGGATATCCATCTCTTGAAGCTCTCGCACGCCGCTTCCTGTTCGAGCAGCAGAACCCTGAACACGCCAACCCAGCGGATATACCACTTGCTCAATGTCCCCCAGTCACCTCTCGTGTGAAAGTCTTTCCATCCGCTATCGCTATGTTCTACGCACCAAGTGACTACTCCGGAACTAAGGGTATGCGCCGCGAGAGGATCCGCTGTGTCCGACAGTGGCGAAATGAAGGCCCGCGGCGTGACTGTGCATTTGTAGTGAAGGACAGCTCTCTTCCGGGCTTTCGTGGCTTGGATGTTGTTCGAGTTATGCTCCTCTTCTCGTTCACTTATCAGGAAGTCGAGTACCCGTGTGCCCTTGTGCACTGGTTTGTGCCAGCGGACGACAAGCCTGATGAGAATACTGGGATGTGGGTTGTTGAGCCGGACATGGATCCTCGGGGTAAGCCTGTCCTACAGGTAATTCACTTGGATACCATGTTGCGCGCGGCGCATCTCGTAGGTGCCGCAGGTCATGATTCTATCCCACGGACACTCCAACATTATCGCGCCCTCGACATGTTTCGGGCATTTTATGTCAACAAATATGCTGATCACCACGCACACACAATAGCCTTTTGATTATATCCACATAGAATAGAATGTATTGGGTTGACTGTTTTTTTGGGTCTGTAAGAGGTGTGTAGACGGTTGCCGGTTCCCTTTAAATCAGTTAACAGACCACGGAAAGTTGAACGCTTACCGTTGGGCGCTTGAACAAATCCTTTTTAAGATTAGAACTGGGTGGGTTTTGAGCCTTTCGGACGCCTAGGGCAGACATTAGGTGCCAATGTTGACGCTAGAAAATACTCCGTCTGGGCATAATTGTGCTGAAGGTAGGTATTTTGCGCAGAACATGTGCCCAATGTATAAGCGCCGTATGTGTTCGTGTGTCCTGCTGCTGGTAGGCTGCCTCCCATCGCCCGTAGTCACGAAAACATTGAATTTGTCACCAGACAATGCACAAGATTATGTCTGAAAGTTTAAGCAGTGATGAAGGACTATACTGCCGATTCCCAAGACCAACACTGACCCAAGCCAGAGAGCTTAAGCCCAAGACGCCCCAAGCCCGAATGGTCAAGCCCAAGCCCGCTGCTCAATACCAAGCTGCCTCCCAAGAGCTGGCGGTTTTGCTGATGGGGCTGGATGCGCCGCGGACATTAGGCACGCTCGCCCTTTGACGCCGGGCCTAGAAGACTAGGAGCCAAGCGCCGCAGCTTCTATGCTTGCTTGCTAAACTCCTTCAGTGGTTGTCCAGGAGGCTTCGGCGGAGCTCCGGGTGAGCAAGGTAGCCGGTCCTAAGCTCGAGGGGAGTCTCATTGTTTGGAAGACTTGGATTAGGACACTGAAAGCTTAGGCCTCAGGACGTTGATCCACGCAATGGAGTGCCGATCGTCGACCTACCAGTAGCTTCAATGAAGGTGACATGACAAGGGTGCTCAGCGCGAGATCCGGTCAGTACTGTGGCACCTTCTCGAAGCGTACGTGCACCGGTGACCTTCAGCACACGTACGCGCGCGGTTCAAAGAAGCCATCGTCCGATCACCTAGTCCCAAGAGGGTACAATAGGTTAGAAAGCTTGTACACGGTATGCAGGCGAATACGCCCACTAGAACGTCTCAGGCGCGCTTATGTGACAGACAGAAGGGCCCAGCCATGGCCGGTCGAAGCGTCGACGCACCCGGACAAAGCGAACGCCCGAGCAACAGGCCCTGAAGCCGGTACGCCACGCACCCTTTATCGATGCGACGCCCCAAAGGCGGGCACTGCATGGTCCAGGAACGAAACCGCTGCCAGGCGGAAATGAAAGTGCCGTGCGTCCGACGTGGCGGCCCTGCCTGCCTGCACGATTGGGGGGGGGG